AGGACCAGCAAGTGGCATGGTGGCATGGGTGGGCCCCCATGGCTAACTGCGCAATTTGAGCCTTGGACCTGGTGGCTTGAAAAGCACTCTGGGCATGTGTATATGTGTGCTCAAAATCCCAAGAGGAAGATGGAGGAGAAGGGACTATGGCATGGCCATCCCTGCTGCGGGATGACTTCTCGCTTTGTCCTTCTGTTTCTCTCTCTCTCTGGTGAGCAAATGTACCACTCTATAGCAAAACTAAAATAATGACACAGAACTTGGTTGAGATTTGACTGTCTTTCCTCTAGTCCAGCACCGACAGGGCACTTTTATCTGAGAGCCCTGGTCCCCCACCCTACCCCACCGGGCACCTGGGTGTAGCTGACAGTTACACCCGGCCTGTAGAAGAGCCAAGGGCTTTCCATCCGGGCAGCTGCTCTCACCCTGGGCCAGGGCGGCTGACATTATTAGTGCACTTTCCACACTGGAACACTTTTATAGGCTCTAAAATAGACTCCTTTCCAAGATACCACAGATGGCGCAAGGCCTTCACCAGGCCAGGGCAGCTTGCAGAGGAAAGTGGCTCTGAGCTGAGGTGGAGGACACAGGCAGGGAAACACAGGCCGAGCAGGCAGGGGAAGCCGGGCAGGGTGGAAACTCTAGCCCAGTCAGTTTGGTGGCTCAGTGGTTCTTCATTTTCCTGACAGAGATGGCAGCACCGGCCAGCTACTCCACTAAGTTAGCTCAAAGGTAGGAAGAACTCACAACTGCACAGCAGTGCAGGGGAGGGGAGAGCTCTGGAGACTGCATGGAGTTCTATTCCCTACCCCCCTGGGCCCCAGACAGCACCTGAAGCTGCTACTGATAAGAACAGTTTTTGGACATTTGCATGAAATGTTCTTTTTTTTTTTTTTTTCCCCAAATCCAAAGCAGGTCGGAGCTAAGAGTATGACCAGAAGAAGGAGAGCTAGGGAGGCCAGATTTGGAGCTGTGCAGCGACCCCAAGACTGGGAAGGCCCTGGCATTGTCTCCACCCTCCTGACATTCCCACCACCAAGGGCTAAGTATTTCATCATCATTAATTGTTTTTACTTATTTATTTACAAAATCTGGAAGCCACATCAAAGAATAATTAAAACAGCTCCAGACTGGTCCATTTGTCTAATAGACTGATCCCAAACTTGTGATCCTGAGATAGGAATCCAAGCTCAGGGTGATGAGGGAATCCTGGCAAGACAGGGTCCTTGCTTTTCCGGATCATCTTGTGATCTGCTCCTTCCTCTGCCTCCTTCCCCCAGTCACGGGCTGTTCCCTCAGTGCTGTCCACTTGCAGAAGGCTCATTCTCACAGGCTTCCATTCACTCACTCGGAAGTCAGGCAGTGGCTCCTGCTGCACACTCTGCCTTGGGTCTAGACATGGGGCTTCCCACTCTCCACACCCAGGATCCCAGCATCCCCCATGACTGGACCACAAGTGAACGACCCCTGGAAAATCTCATGCAATGACACAGAGGAAGAAAGCCAATGTGGTCTCAGATGGGTCCTGAGAATATTCCTTGTGTTCTCTGATCTGTTGCTAACTTGGGGAGAGAGGGATGAAAAAAGGTGGCCAGGAACACAAGACTTTATCTTTCCATATGAGAACTGGAAAAGACACCCCAGTGTTCTGTGGACACATTTTAGGTTGCTGTAGACACCACAGTCAGTTCTATTTAAAAAATAGGATGCTTATACAATTTTTAAACTTTGGTTAAAAGCTTTTCTTTTAGCTCTACTTACACACACACAAAAATTTCTTTCTTTCTTCCTGAGACAGAAAGACAAAGCCCCCTCAACAGGGCCTCCCATCATGATCCAACCCCTGCCTTCCCAGCAAGCCAGGATCACAGTGTGTGCGTGTGTGTGATGTGTACAAGTCGACCTGGGGACCAAATGTCAGTCCTCCATGTGGCTTCCAGCATTGCACGGAGCTGTGCTGCTGCTTGGTCTGTGTGGCTAGACCTTCCGAGTTGCCCTTAAGGTAAAAAGGGACACTCTGGCCTTGGACGCACATCAGTGAGATTCTCTGAGAGGAGGACAGGCTCTGGTGTACAGCTTACACCCTTCTGAGCTGATGGGTGCTGACAGTGGGTGGCCCTGGCAGGAATCACTGCCACAGAAGTAGGACCCACTGTCATGATCGATATGCATACACATAGCCACGGGAGTGTTCTCAGCAACACCAGCACCTTTAAAACAATGGCTTCAGTCCCCTCACCTATGGCAGGTAATGATATTCTTCTCTCCAAGCAGACTTGTCCTGGGGCCCTGGGGCCCTGGGGCCATTTGGCCCTGCTCCCCGAGCCAGATGGTTTTGCTCAGAGCATTCCTATCCCCATCTGCAGACCAGGGATCATCATATCTACTCTGCAGGCCCAGGGTAAAGCTTACAGCTAATCAATGTGCCGGACAGAACAGATCCCCATCTATGACGGCGCTTGTTTTTTTTCCCCTTCTCTTCAGAACAGCTAGTAAGTTATCCTGATCCTGTGGCGACGAACCTCCTGCAAATGTTCACATCTCCTCAGCATGTTGGAGAAACATGTGTCTCTCTAACATACCATGGGAAAAACAGGCCCAGGGCCGAGCTCTCCTCAGGGAGAGAGAAATCCACCAAGAAACTGTTTCAACCCCTATGTGACTTCTTCTCTGCTTTTCTGTTTTTGCTTCATTAACTCTAATTGCAATCTTATTCTACTCCCCTTGGAGTCATTTCATGATCAGAAACAATTTGAGTCTTCCTTCTCCGGCAATGCTCCCAGAACAGGCTCTTCTCCCAGGAGTCACTTCAGTGGGCCCATCTGTCACTGTCAGATCTGTGTCTGAGCCCAGTGTCCCTGTGAGTGGAGACATGTCCCATT